TTGTTTCCAGTGTCCTGGGATCCCTGATATAAGGGGCTGTGATGTCCTGTGACACTTTTCCCGGGTCCGTGAAAGTCAAATGTCAGCACATTAATGAAATCCAGGTACCTGATTAAATGCAGAGGAGACAACATTCACCAAAACATGACTGCAGCTAATTATGGGTATAATGTTAGGACTTGCATTCAGTGAGTTTTACTTGGCAATCTGTGCGACTTCATAACTGGCATCAATGATTGCTTTCTCAGCAGAGACACTGGCAGTGATCAGTAATCGGTTATCTGCTGTTCCCTCAGCCGTAAAGGCCTCTTTGAGCTCCTATACAACACAGAAGCACAGTTCAGTTTCAGTTAAATATAAAATGTAATATTTTCATACAGTACAGCATATTTCTGACAGTGTCTGTCCCAGAAGATAAATTTTGACCTTGCACAGCAGTGTGAATCTATGCTTGTCCTGTGGTCGGCTTCCAGCTCCTCCAGGGTACCGCCAGTCAAGGTTTATCCCATCTAAACCATTTTCTCTCAGTAGTGTGATAGCAGACCTGATAAACTTTGCTCTGTTTTGTTGTGTTGCCACCATTGCACTGAATCTGGTAAACATTTAAACAAAACAGTGTTTTTAAGATGACACACAGCTGAGAGCACCAGGTCATGTAGCAAAGACCAACATACAGCCATAAGTAAATGGTCAGGTTACCATGTTTAACACATGTGAAACACATTTTGTGAGTTTCAGTGGAGTAATATTTGTTAAAAGTAGGAGTTAATAAAAAGGGAATGTTGTCACCCACAATAAAAAATAATTTAAGTTAAATCTTTCAATAAAACACCAATTCATTTGGAGTTTGCAGATACTAACAATACTGACCCCTTCATGTGCACATTATTTGTGTGATTCTTCTCCAGCGACTGTTGTTGGTTCCTCATGATGTCATGAAGGTATCAGATATCAACAATCCTGCTTGTTGAACTATGTTGCAGTGTTTGCATTAATATATTGTTTCTAAAAACTGACATTTTGTGTGCTGATGGAATCAGGAAATTAACTTATTTATGTACTTAAATACCAATTCACTCTGCTACCTCATTTATATGAAACCACATATAGTGTAATATATGGACACAAGAAGTTTCATGGTCAGAAAATACCAACGTGTTGAAGTGATGCTTACACTTGTCTTTGCAATGACACACAAAAAAGACCTCAATGTTCATGTAAGTAACTCACTTTTGTGTGTTAAAGTTCAGGCCACCAACAGCCAACAGGGTTTTAAGCAGTGGATTTCTGTGGAGCAAAATAGTTCAGTAATGATTATTTAATAAAACAGGAAATTCAGCATCACTTCCACAATATTTATAGACTAAGGGGACAAAAGTGAAAAGGTCTGAATACACTGATTTGGCTGAAGCACTGACCTGGTTTTGAGTCCATTGAAGGCCTGATAGCGTAGTATGTCAGTTGCTGTGCTCGGGACCAGCCTGTGTTGTTTGTTAATGTCAGAGAAGGCGTAGATCAAGTGGGTACACTTGTTTGGATCAATATTTGAAACCGTGAACTTCCCTCTTTTTTCAGACAAGCTGTTGTAGTAACACACCAGCCTGTGGGAAGAGGCTGAGGGAGAGGCTGAGGGAGAGGCTGAGGGAGAGGCTGGGGTAGAGGCTGAGGGAGAGGCTGAGGGAGAGGCTGGGGTAGAGGCTGAGGGAGAGGCTGAGGGAGAGGCTGAGACAGGAGGAAAATCATGATGGTTTTAATTTGTTTCTGGAGACATCATTATTAAAGTCCTTGTTAACCAACAATGAGTTAATTATTTTTCTGCTGGTAAAGCTGTTGATTGTTAATTATTAATAATGTATGTTATAAACTTACCCAAGCTGGCCATGATCAAACAGAGACCTTGAAAGTGACAGACTGGTCAGTATTTAGGTGAAAAACGTAGCTTAACAGGTCAGTTTGCTTAAATTACAACAGGTGTGTACTGTCTGGATTCTCCACAGTTAGTTACCAGTACATTTTCTAAATGCAATTTTTCATTGGCCAGCACCACAAACCAAATTCCATTCACTGTCATTAATCTGAGAGACAATAACATGTGTAAGCAAAGCTTAAGAATATCTTAGATACCACTGGAGGAAAGTGAGAAAATGTGTGGTTTTGTGATTTGGGTGAATTGACTCTTTAAGGAAACAAAACTTGAGCAGTGTGTCTTACCTGCAGTCAGAGTGAGCCTGCACATGTTGTCACTGTGTGGATAAGCAGAGGAAATAGACAAAAAAAGTTTGATATGTCTCTGAAAACACACCATGATTTTAAAACAAATCCTCACTCTGTTAATAAACTGTTGCCACAAAAATACAATTCATGTCAGAAAACAGCACATCTCTAACTAATTCTTAGTATTAAAAACAAAGAAGCAAAATATGGTCTAATAACATCAGAGTTAAAGGGATACTTACAAAGTCATGATGAAAGAAGCATATACTGTCTCTCTGCTGTGACTGATGACTGGTGGATCTCTGGATGTGCTGCTTTAAATCAGGTGCACAGCTGACAGGGTGGGGCAGTTCACGAGGGTGTGGATAATTACTGCAATGTCAGAATTTCCAAAGCAATCGGATGCTGATTGAAACTGGGTCAGTGGTTAAAAGTCACCTCATGCCAGGCCCTTTTGACTTTACATTCAAATTTTGGTCACTGAAAGAGCTTGATACCACCGTGTTTAAATCAGTATCATCAGTATTGTTGTTGTTCAACGTTTATTAAGGATAAACCCCTTGCAATGCATCATCTCAGTCGTAGCATTGATGTGGGCTACAGATTCACACAGAGGAGAAGTAATGTGCAACGAAGGTCTCCTACCAGACTCAAACCAGGAGAGTTTCAACTTCAGTATCTATTCCTATTCTATTCCTGGATTACAGCTCCACCTTCAACACGATCAGGCCAATGAAGCTCACGGTGAAGCTAGCAGACCTAGGAATATCAACACCCACCCGCAACTGGATCCTGGACTTCCTCACAGACAGACCACAGGTGGTGAGGATGGGAAACAAGGTCTCTGCAGCGCTCACAGTGAGTACCGGAACCCCACAGGGCTGCTGCCTCAGCCCTAAACTCTTTGCACTTTACACACATGATTGCACTTCCACCCAGGACAACAACACTGTTATTAAGTATGCAGACAACACAACCATCCTTGGCCTCATCAGATGGGGGGACGAGTCATCATACAGAGACCTGGTTCACAAGATCACCGTCTACGGGGAGAACAATGATTTTGTACTCAACGTCGACAAAACAAAAGAACTCATCATAGACTTCAGGAGACGAGCCCACCCTCTGCAGCCACTCACCATCAAGGGGACCGTGGTGGAGCGAAGTGACAGCTTCAAGTTCTTAGGCCTGCACATCACAGACAGCCTCAGCTGGGCCAAACCCACTGTAACCACAGTGAAAAAAGCTCAGCAGAGGCTGCACTTCATCAGAGTGCTAAAGACAGCCGGACCTGGACGCCAGCCCCTCACCCAAGCATACAGAGGACTTGTGGAGAGCATCCTCACCTCCGCCATCACAGTGTGGTATGGCAACACCATCCTGGCTGAGAGGAAAGCCATGCCACAGGTCATCAGAGTTGCAGAGAGGATTATTGGCTCCGGTCTCCCTTCTATGGAGACAATATACACACAACGGTGCCGGAGGAAAGCGCAGAGCATTATGAGGGACAGACACCACCCAGCACATGCCCTGTTTCAGTGGGTGGACTCGGGGTACAATCTGAGACACCGCAGGCCGGGGAGCATCAGTGCTCGCACAGCTCGCTTTCACAAGAGCTTCTTCCCAGCCACTACCAGATTAGTGGCACAGGACATTAGGGAGGGAAGAAGTTATCTTGCGTCATAACCTCATAACTCTTTTCACACTATATACATCACATCAGGACATTGTGCAATAACCCCTTACAACAATAATGTGCAATATTCATAATGTGCCTTTTATTTATTCACTGTATTATTACTATTATTTATTTGCTTTTGGTACTTGTTTGTTATGTGACTTACTGTGTTTTCTTTATTGACCTTTGTGTCTTTTGTTTTTAACTGGTGCTCGGAGACACGCACAAGAATTCCAATGTACCTGTACTGTGATGTACTCGTGCAAATGGCAATAAAACTCTATTCTATTCTATTCAGTATCTGAAATCCCTAGACCATCAGGATGCCCTACATCTGGGGTATATTTGTAGCCAATAATATAGCAAGTCTAGATTTATGTTAGCTCCATCAACTATGCAGCAGAAAACAAAAAAAAAAAAACATTTTAACATCAGTATCAGTAACAACAGTTTCTCTGGCATGAACAGTCAAAACCTGTAGTTCCCTGACATCCATTAAAACAACATAATTACAGTAATTATTAAATACTAAAGAAACAATACATGCACATAACAAAGCTATAATTTGTGGAAATGACCAACAGGAGCATTGTGGTGTAAGGTGTGTCTAATTACACAGTGGTTATAAATAAATCTAATGACTAGCACAATCATCAATTAAGTCACGTACTGACACAGTTTTATTGAAAAAATAACAACCAAACAGACAAACAGGATACACACCCAACAGGGTTAGAAACACCTATCTGACATGTTGTTGTTCTTACTTTGTCATGACAAACAGAACTGAACAGTACTGGGTATTCTGAACATTGGCTGGGTTTGTGTACTGTTTTAACTGGACGGGCACACTGACCAAAATACACTGTTTTATCATGTTTTCCTCTCTTGTGATTTTT